GCTGTGATAGTACACTATCATAGCCTGGGGGCTTTCTTGTTATAATAGTGGGGGTGTCCAGCCAAGTTGCGATTAGGATTAGTAGATATTCTGTAGTGCCAGAACTTAAGTTGCCCTACTCCTAAAATAAGTTGAGCGTATATTGGCCACGGGATATCCCTTAGACCAATACGAGCCGACGCCTCAACATTATTTTATTTCAGAGTTCTGTTGGTTCTTAAGGAGAAATCCTTAAATCAGGCACGCGACACGAGCGGTATGTGACAGCTTACCAAAAACCCAAGCAATATATAAGAAAAACAAAATTGACAAATAGTACATATTTTAATTTTAATTTTATAATTACGAAATGAAACATTTACCCACTTTTATATAAGGATATATATGTTTAAAAAAAAAAAAAGATTCCAAAATCTTAACCCAAGGTGTCGTAAAAAAACCCAGTTCTTGGGGGAAAGCCCAAGTACTGGCAGGCCTGATGAAAGGGAACGCTGTCAGCGCTGCTGTTGTTTCTCGAACACTTAGATTTACCAATTCCGACTGAAAATTCCGTGGATTCTAAATAATAACAGACGCATTAAAAAATGCTACAAGAGTTGTAGATGTTTAAAAAGTAACTCACTTAACATTATTAATTTACTAAGTATCTGAAGTTAATTACTAAAGAATAATCTTAGAAAATGCGCAATGATGGCCCAAATTAATTATTGGGATTTGAGGGTGATCAGGAAAAAAAATATCCAACAGAGAAGGCGAAGGGCTCTAAATAATGACAGATGCATGAACAAATGCTACAATGGTTGTGGATTTTTTTTTAAATGATTAAAATAACGTTAGCTAATTTAATAATTATTTTCAGTTAATTATAAAGCGGGAAAAACGGTCTCCTAGTGCAAACATATTGAATTCAAAGCCAAAACAGTGATGCCACTAAACAATTTTTTTAAACATGTGCTGTATTGCCAATCTTTGTGAAATTTCCCACACTTATATAACAATTAACGCAGAATTCAAAAATACAACACACATTACGGTAATCTGGCTAATTAAAACGATATTTATGAAATTACTTACCGTTATAAGATTTAAAGCCAAAACAGTGATGCCACTAAACAATTTTTTTAAACATGAGCTGTATTGTCAATCTTTGTGAAATTTCCCACACTTATATAAAAATTAACGCAGAATTCAAAAATACAACACACGTTGCGGTAATCCGGCTAATTAAGAAGATATTTACGAAATTACTTACCGTCATTGGATTTGAAGGGAAAACAGTGATGCTACTAACCAATTTTTTTAAACATGTGCTGTATTGCCAATCTTTTTGAAATTTCCCACACTTATATAAAAATGAACGCAGAATTCAAAGATACAATACACATTGCGGTAATCTAGCTAATTAAAAAGATATTAACGAAATTACTTACCGTTATTCACTGCGTGCTGCCCAAAAAAAAATCGATTTATTTTATACGCGTCAAAACCATTTCAGGTCAAAGCCTGGCATCTCTCCAATAACTTCTAATAACTTTTCCGATTTTATCTATCACGTAAAGAGCACAGAAAAATAGTTTCTGAATAACAGACAATTGGTTTTCAGATTTTCGGGTCGCAATCGCGTCTATAGATACCGACGAAAATGTATAGCAAAATAAACGAAACAAAACAATCCATTGCTATAGTAGTTTTGCATGATATGTTTTTGGATCTCTATAATGTTTGCTGCTTGGCAAGGAGTGATGTTGTCTGGGCAATCCTAGACATGATTTCTGGTCCTGACCCCTAGTCTCTAAAATGGATCCTAAATATTTGAAATGAGTCGTTTGTTCTGATTTGTGGTCTTCAACGTAGATTGGTGAAATTCTGCCAGCTGGATTATTTATTAGTCATTACTTTTATTTTTTTTGCGTTTGTTTCCATCCCATACTTGGTTGATGTTTCATCGAGTAGATTTACAAGCTCGACCAGTTCTTGTTTTTCTCCAGCCAACCCATCGATGTCATCTGCAAACCTTCAGTTTGTTAAAGTTCGACCTCCGATACTAAGTGTTCTATGATAATGTTCTAGGGCATCAGTCACAATTCTTTCTAAAAAGATGTTAAACTGTGTTGGAGAGAGAAGGCAGCCCTACCGGACTCTACTGTTGTTCAGAACCAGCTTCCTATTTGTTCGTTCAGTGTGACAGCACTGCTGGCCTTATCGTAGAGCTGTTCTACAGTACGTATGAGGCTTTTACCGATATTGTTCTTTTTATAGAGTCCCAGAGTGCTGTTTGTCATACTCTATCAAAGGCCTTTTTTAACATTAATGAACACATGGTATATCTGTTTTTAGTTCTGGTTGTATTGCTCAGATATTTTGCATAGACTAGAAATATGTTCAACGGTGCTTCTTTCAGCACGGAAACCCGCCTGTTCCTCTGCTATGATCTTTTCTGCGTGTGGCTTCAATTTGTTTACTGTTTAGGAGTATCTTGAGCATGACTTCACTGGGATGACTGATGAGACTAAAAGTTCTATAATTTTGACATCGTTGTAAATTGACCTTCTTAGGAATGGTTATAATGATTTGGTCCAAAGAGATGACCATTCACAAGTCTCCCAAATTTTGTTAAAGATTTCAGTGAGGATGTCGATGATGGCCTCTCTTCCCGCCTTAAGGATCTCAGCTGGGATATTGTCAGTTCCCCCAGCTTTCCCCGTTTTTTTCCTTCAGTTCTGTTGGCCAATTTCACTTTATTCCGGAGTATGGGGAAGCTTTCATCTCCCTGTGCTTGGCTGTTGTCGGTGTTGCTATTTGTTTGTTTGTTTTACAGGCTTGAACAGTATTCAGACCATCTATTCAGGATGTCATTACTTTATATGAGTAGTTTACCTTCTCTGTCTTGGATGGCGTTACTTCTTGACGTTTTCTCTCTGCCACGTCAGCTATATTATAAATATATATCAGTATACTACAGCTTATGTTAAAGTGAAGCTAGTCAAGGGTTGTGTGGGTGAAAACAATTCAGACGCACATCCTGCCACGTCCGCCATGCTATAAATATACACCAGAATACTGCAGCTTATAGTAAGGTGAGCCAGTTTGAACATTCTTGCGTTGATCTTTCAGGGTAAGTGAAGAATATGGGTGGTAAGATCGTGACGTTAACAGTGCTAATGTTAAAAACAGAAATGAAGATTAGGAAAGTTTGTAGAACACTCTTCTTCTTCCGCTGTAGTCGTCAGGTTTTGAAGAGACATCGGGTGACAGCCTGGGTATGTGCCACGTAGGTGCAAGTATTTACAGACTATGCTTTTCCAGATAGTTCTGTCCCAATTTCTTTCTTGATGTCATCATTTCTAATACTATCTCTTCTAGTCACCTTTAGGATTCACCGTAAACGTTTCATTTCTGTTGTTTAGATTTGTCTGTTGTCTTTTATTGTCAGTGTCTTCGTTTGGCAATGAAAACACAGTGTTAGTATGAATGCTGTATTAAATAGGCTCTTCTGGTTTCAATTGTTGCATGTTTTTTTCTGAACTAGTGACATTTGCTGAACGATCTGATTTGCTTTATTGCATCTATGAACTAACTTCGCTTCGACTCTTTCCTTGGATGATTTTGAAGCAATACCCATCATTGAATTCTTTGAGAAGCTTCACTGAAATGTTTCGGCCACCTGGTGAGAATGAATCCAGTTTTGCGAACGTACAACATTAAAATATAAACACTAAGATTTAGATGGAGACCTTTGATAAATGAATTGATAGAGTCAGTGACAGTTTAGAGACCGCACGACATCACAACATACCAAGCAACTGACAGGGCTCTGGCTCTGCTACATATTATCTGTTAAACTGCGGCGCTTATCGGTACAAAGCAGACAGTGACAAGAAAGAAAATAAGAAGAAGAACAAGGTCTATTATAAACTGTAGCTACATGAATTACATTCATTTACAAGCAAGAAAGGAACAACTGTCTGGACTGAACATCAACAGAAGACCAGTAAACAATGTGTTTCTAGTAGAAAGTCGACACAAGTGACCAGATCTCATGAAACAAACGAATATGCTGTTTGAGGGTTAACTTTGTTGCACCGGGTCTAAAGAAGAAGAGCTTTACCTATAGTATCACAATACCCAGCATGGGAATGAAGATGGAGGCAGTACCAGCAGCTTTCTGATTACTAGAGAGTAGAACAATCCGACATCTCTGTAATGGACTCATGTGACTTGCTTCGGAAAAAATAGCATGTAAACGAACCCATACCCCCAGAGCTCTAGGCAAATGGTTTCAAAATGTTTTAGGTGCTTTCATTTAATTTCCACAACGTTATGGTTGTTCAGAAGTCGCCGTGGCCGAGCGGCTAGACGCTCGACGCGGATCGGAAGGTCGTGGGTTCGCTCCATGGCGGAGCGGGACTTTTTTCAAAAATGACCTTGGCTCCCAGGTCGACCCAGTCTTGAGTGGGTACCGGGTGCTGTTTTGGGAAAGTAAAGGCGGCCGGCGTGATGCTGACCACATCACCCATCTTGTGCCGACTGGTCTATACAAATATAGGTCTAGCCCCATATGCCCTATACGCCTAAAGGCGTGGAAGGCGTCCTTTACTTTACTTTATGGTTGTTCAGGTGGCTGCTACTGAAGGCAACCTGCCTAGTGAACACACCAACAGACGACTGCGTTGTTGAAAGAGACAAGCAGAGGACTATTCGCCACCCTTTCAGACCTACTGGGAATAAAAGGCTTTCCTGATATTTCATAGACCGATCAGAAAAACATCACGCCTGCTGACTTTTTTGTCCCATGACTGTACCTGGTACCCATTTAAGTCTGGGTCGATCCGAAAGGCCGAAAATAATCAACATTCCCTTGCTTGTGTTTGGAAATTTGTGCGTGCGTGCGTGCGCGCTAGTGTTTCGTTGCTGAACACCGAACTTTGTCGTTTGTTCCCTAGAAAAATTTCTATAAACTGAATACTTACGTTTTCAACACAACGTTTTGAGGAGAAAGTATGGTTCAGCAAGAGGGATATCACAAAGATCTACTGGCGTTAATTGTGATGGCAGCAAACATATTTACTGCGGCCAGTGTACCAACAACTGCCAGCACACATGAGTCCCTGTTCCTAACTCCACTTCTCGATCAAGGTAACATCCAAGCTGCCAAAGAAAGAAGCCGGGTAGCCGAGGACACGACTCATTACATTCCGGCAAGTCATGCTGGTTTTATCACCGTGGACAAGCAGCTTGGGAACCATCTTTTCTTTTGGTACTTCCCTTCTCAACTCAACGCATCAGCCCCGCTTCTTTTATGGCTCAATGGAGGTCCGACTGTTTCATCCATGGTTGGATTGTTCTGGGAGCATGGTCCAATGGAAGCAAAAATGACAGAAGAAGGAGTCAAACTAACCCACAGAAATTATACGTGGGTGGGTCCATTCTCAGTTGTTTATGTTGACAATCCGGTAGGAGCCGGTTACAGTTTCTCAGATCAAGACGAATCCGGTTACAAGGCGACGCAAGATGGCTACACCGCTGATCTCCATAGCTTCGTTTTGCAGTTCCTTAAAATGTTTCCTGAGCACAAAACGCGAGACTTCTACCTCAGTGGACAGTCTTACGCTGGCAAATACGTATCTGCTCTTGCATACTAAATCCACCAACAAAATAACAGTGAGACTAAACAGAATCCTCTTCGAGGCATAATACTTGGTAGTCCATATTTCGACCCCAGAACTCAACATCCTGCATATTTCAACCACCTGTACAGCCTTGGTGTCATAAGTAAAGCAGATTCGATCATATACAGAAACGAATTGTCTGATATACACCAGCAATTTAATGCTGGGAAACTGATCAATTTCACATTAGAGGAAATTTCAAACAAAATCCTTCGTTATAACGAAATTCCACTTCAGACTTTGGACAATTATGTCAGTAAACAAAATGTTGAGTACAGTACAGTGGCGTTTGCAATGATGTTACCTGAAATACAAAGGGCGCTACACGTAGGAAGCAACCACACTTTTATGTTTTTCAACAATCGTTTGATGAATGAGTTTATCTAAGACCTTTTCGTGAGTACAGTCAGGATGATGGCTGTTTTACTGGACAACTATAAAGTACTTATCTTCAACGGTGATTACGACTTGGTTACCAATTCTGCTATGGTAGAAGCAGCATTGCTGGCGACACCGTGGCTTAAGCAGAAACATTACAGTGAAAGCCGAAGGTAAAATATGTAGCTTTGTTTTTGTTTGTTAACAAACCAATCAGGTGCCATAAAAGAAGAAGGTAGGAACTGAAATATTAGGGGTAATTTTACAGCAAATCAGATACAGTGAAAGCCGGAGGTAGGAGCTTGAAACATTAAGGGTATATTTATTGACCTCTCCGTGTGGGTTCTGGGGTCCTTTTATAGGGAAAACAAGAATAGACCCACTGCCTACCAAAAAGCATGTAGTAAGACTCGACTTATTTGGAGCTACCTTCAAAGTCGATGTGCATCTGCCTGAGAGGCAAGGAACCAGCTGACTCCACACAAATGAGTGAGATCTGTAAAACGGATGCACTCGCAACACAGGTTCTGGAACAGGACTGCAGTCCAGAAGTGGATGAACAACCAGAACTTTCCGCCAGAGTTTACAGCTGGTGAACACGAAGGAGAAAAGGAAGAAGAAGATTTATAGACCCCTGTCGGTGACATTAAAAGCTAATGTAGACACTGGGGCTGCCGAAATATTTTTGGGGAAAAGTACCTCATTTTTGTGTGAAAATACACACACAGACACACAACGTAGCAAACCATAGGGCATGGTACCAAAAGTCGAGTTTTGGGAACAGTTTACTAACTCGGTCCCAGGTTCTACCTATTTACACATTAGGTCACTTTTGATTGGTGCTTGGACAGGCTCGTAAACTTTGCTCAAGGCTACATGGGCGTTTCAGTTTACTATTCGCTTGAAAAGCTTTCAGAGTTGTACTTCTATTTACGTTTTCTTTCAAGGAAGAGAATGCGTGGGACGTAAGCTGCAGCAATCTCGTAGGTGGGTTTGTATTAGGTCCAGTTCTGCATGTTTTTGGACCGTTAAAAGTGCTGACATCCTGAAATATATAACACGCGATATCATCGACCGGTGAAAAGAGCGCAGGAAGATTTTCGAACAAAACAGTACGCAGGGACACCCTTGTAACGTTCATCAAAGTTGACGAGCCTAACAATGTATTTATGAAAAGGGACCTAGTGTGTAAGTGTGCAGAGCCTGGGTCAGGCAACGTGGATTTAGAAATCCACCTCGATGCGGTTTGGTAAGCCTTACGCAAATCTCCATAAACATAGTTAGCCCCATCTATTGACACGCAATAACTTTTGATTAAAAGTTGCTATGCCTCGTCACCTGTGCACTAGTTAACGGGGGTGTTCTGCGATACTGTTGATATCGCCTGTTGTATATTTCGGTACGCCAGCGCTTTCGACGCTCCAAAATCATGGAGCACTGGGCCTAACACAACCCTCCTACGAGAGTGCTGAAACCTGTGTCGCATGAATTCACTTTCTTGGAATGAAAACGTAAATGAAAAATAACACAGAAAGCAAACATTAGAGCGGGACACACCAGTAACTTTTAGCAATGTTGGCCAGTCTAACAAACTATGAATGAAAAGAGACCTAGTGTGTAAAAAGACGGGGCTAACTCTGTTTGGAGAGATTTACCTAATACTCACCGGCGGTTTCAACCCAAAATCCTCGGAACCGGCAGAGAAACGGCTCATCCTTTCACTACAGAGGTTCACTATCTGTAGCAAGGTCGTCTGCAGTAAATGTGCTTACTTTAAATTATAGCCGAAACAACCGCAGTATTTTGAACGTGATCGATTTTTTGTTTGGTTTCCATAAATTGATGGATGGATGGATGGATTGATGGATGGATAGTATATATAACCACCCGAATACGGACTCATTTTTTTTTATTTTGAAGCCCCACGCGTACTGTTGTGGAGGTCCCTAATATAACCTACATGTTAAACAGGAGTCTCTATGACTTACGCCTGTGGGAATTCCCAACCGAATTATGACACTTTGTGTCACTGAATTTAATAGCTTGTTGTGAAGTCATAGTGGGGTTAAATATCACTCACTCATACATTTCTTGCTACAATCATTCAGCTGCGATCTCCATGTGAAAGATGAGTTAAAATAGAGTTCGATCTCATAGTCTCATTGTGGCTGTACACTCTGTCAGACTTCCTTTGGTCGACCTCTTGACCCTTACCGTTCTACCTGATCCCATCTTGCTCCCCTAATAATTCAGACTAAGGACGGGGCACCACAGACGTCGTCAACATATGTTCATACTTTTCGGTGTAGGAAACACGGAGGCGTATCAATGCTTCGTCGTACCCAACACTGTCAACTGTATGCTGACAACAGAGAGGCAATCTAGCCTGTTCCAACCACAGTAACGACAAAACTGTATGGTACATGAGGAGATAGACTGCACTATAGCTTTCATGAAGACTACCGGCCTCCTGATATAAGTTTTGTGACAGAAAGATCGAATAAGAAGAATAAGCACTTTCCATTTGATTTCAGATTGTCTTCACACGTTCGCTATATCATAAAGCAGCTCATCACTCAGAGGGGCGGCAGCAGCCAGTTTGTCAGCCTGCTCATTACCTCTCACACCTCAATTTTATGGACATAATATCCATTATATGCTCCTGATCAGTCTCTCAACAATGCCGATATCAACGAATCAAATCCACCACCTCAGAATTATGAAACTGTGCGTATAACCCCTAAGCCACATAAAATATACATTTACATGTTCGCGTTTTTTTCCCAGGACATTCTGGACTGAAGATGACCGTTTGAAAGGATTCTTTTCCCAGACTGGTCAGTTCTGCCGGGTTGTTGTCCATGGCGCTGGACACCAGGTCCCTCATGATATGCCAGACGTGTCCTTGGAGATGGTCACTCATTTCCTGCAGGATGGCTGTATCAAACTAAAACCTAATAAGACTTCCTCTTAAGGCGAAATACAAGAACTGCTGCACCTAACTTGACCTTTTCGTGTTTCTTGTATGTTTTGATTCCTTCTGTCATCACTGTTTTACGCTAACTGTAACAATCACTTGACCATTGTAAAGATAATTTTCTTTCTGTCTTATGGTGCAGTTTATAGCACACGATGGTCGAAAGGTTAGAAAGCTAGACTCTCATGTAAAAGAGCCGGGCTCGATCCACCGTCAGGGATGTGTGTGTGTGTGTGTGTGTGTGTGTGTGTGTGTTTATCACTGACAAAGTAAAAATGATAAATTGCAAACGAATTTCCCATAAGAAATTGTGACGTGACGCGTGGATAAAATGTTTATAATGTTGAGTAGGGATGTTCCTCTCAACACATTCCCTCCACCAGATAAACCGAACTAAAATCTGAGCTATGTTGCTCTCAGACAAAGTCCTGGATATCCAAGAAAACAGCTATATTGGCTCGTTAAGTATATTAACATTAGCTGAACTTGGTACCCACAAGAGAAGAAAAGGAATTTTAGATGTCTATAGCATTATACTTAATGAATTATTAGACAGGGCAAATGATTCCTCCGTCATCTACCTTCTCCCGGTGTTATTATGAATAATTAAAGAATTATTATATTATTTGAGCCCCCACCAAATGGTATTCTATCTTAACAGTTAGTTAAACGTGTAAGAACAGACTCATTTGGAATTTAACAATCGATGTAGTTTAAAACTTGACATACAGATTTATTTACTACAATGAAATTCCCAGTTTGTTGATTTACACAAACAGTGACTGGTTAACGTTATAACAATGATAGTGATTAGCTTCAGCGAGAAAACAGCTCCGGGGTTTAGAGTGGTGTGATGATGTTGATATGTTAAGTCAAAATGGGTTAACTTAGCTTATAAGCCTCTGACAGCCGTGAGGAACTGTCAAGCTTGTCCAACTCTTCCTTGTCTGTTTTCTGCCTGTTTCAGCTTATTCTCCACTTCATCCCCACCTCGGTCTCCACATCGTTCCCACCTCGTTCCCAGCTGGCCGAGTCTAACACAATGTAGTCTCTTTCATGGACTGATCGTCACATGGGCGCTGGGAACTTTCCATCAATCGCCAAAACAGAATGCGACCGTAAAATACCTTTACGTCGACCAGTGTTTGTTTGCCGGCAGGCTGCGATTAATGACGGGAATTCCACAGGCTCGAAGTATAAGTATCAATCGATTGTCCAAATTAATCTCCTCCCTTTCCTCGGTTCTACCCAAATCTCAAGACGATTACTTAAGCCACGCCTCTGAGGTAACTATCAGATCAAATTAGCTAACAAGTGGCTTGTCAGTCAATTCTGGACTGACATCCTTAGAGCAAACAGTCTTAAGTGACCCAATCTAGTTTACAACGAATCTAACTAGCCGGTGTGAAAACGGTCCGTGAAGACATTGTGTTTACTACTTGACACAGATCAAACATTCCTAATTGCCAAACACCTGTTCTGCCAAGAATTACACTGACTTGCGAAACTCCGACCTCCCGGCTCCACAATGTCTAGCGTCCACTCAATTTACCTGTTCAAAAGGGCCCCACTCAGGCTGTGTTAGGAGATAACATTCTGACACTGGCGTGAGAATCACCTAACATCCCTAGTCTGAACCAGCGGGCTGTATTATGTAGTGTTATGTAATTTTAAACAAAGCGCAGTGGCTTTGTTTCGGAGAAGGACTGGAAACATTTAAATCAGTTTGGTTTAAAGTAATATTAGGGTAAAGGGCAGAGTAAATATAATCCTCTCTCTCTCTTTAGAACCAGAAGAACTTATTACAAGTACTAACTTCTGGAACCACTGAGATCGTCTCGTGACAGAAATAAAAAGAGAATGATTACATTGATGGGGTTGTATAGAATAATGTACATGCTGCCAAAAAATAAAATTCATCAATAGAAAAGCAGTTAGATGAAATTAATGAAATTAAACAGCACTTTACCTTCCTTGATAGACTCAAGCGCCCCCTAGCATGGTGCCGAGACGGAAGAAGCAGAAGGGGATGTTACCTGTTCGGTAAAAGAGTAACTGTCCAATATACTTTCAGAAATCTAAAATTCTGATGTGCCCCTGTGTATGTGCTCTCTCTCTCTCTCTCTCTCTCTCTCTCTCTCTCTCTCTCTCTCTCTCTCTCTCTCTCTCTGCCTCTCTATCTATCTATCTATCTATCTATCTATCTATCTATCTATCTATCTATCTATCTATCTATCTATCTATCTATCTATCTATCTATCTATCTATCTATCTATCTATCTATCTATCTATCTATCTATCTATCTATCTATCTATCTATCTATCTATCTATCTATCTATCTATCTATCTATCTATCTATCTATCTATCTATCTATCTATCTATCTATCTATCTATCTATCTATCTATCTATCTATCTATCTATCTATCTATCTATCTATCTATCTATCTATCTATCTATCTATCTATCTATCTATCTATCTATCTATCTATCTATCTATCTATCTATCTATCTATCTATCTATCTATCTATCTATCTATCTATCTATCTATCTATCTATCTATCTATCTATCTATCTATCTATCTATCTATCTATCTATCTATCTATCTATCTATCTATCTATCTATCTGTCTATCTGTCTATCTGTCTGTCTGTCTGTCTGTCTGTCTGTCTGTCTGTCTGTCTGTCTGTCTGTCTGTCTGTCTGTCTGTCTGTCTGTCTGTCTGTCTGTCTGTCTGTCTGTCTGTCTGTCTGTCTGTCTGTCTGTCTGTCTGTCTGTCTGTCTGTCTGTCTGTCTGTCTGTCTGTCTGTCTGTCTGTCTGTCTGTCTATCTATCTATCTATCTATCTATCTATCTATCTATCTATCTATCTATCTATCTATCTATCTATAGTTGTTACCTCACAACCGTTTCTGGACTGGTGGAAAAAAACATCAAGACTTCCCACCTTGGTTTATACTGTGAAGCGTTATCTTTGTGCACCACCTACGAGCGTACCAAGTGCCCCTTTAGTTCCATCTTGCATGTGTTGCAAGTATAGTGTTTTTAGGTGTGTTGCTGTAGAAACAAAATGCAACACTTAAAAATGTAAGAGGGGCAGAAAAGCAAGTGTTCTAGTGTTGTCGGCTTGATTTCTTTGAGTGGAGTGTCCTCTTCGTTGAGTCTTTGAAGTAACGGGAGTTCGTCATCATTTATGGGTGTCGTATCTGTTATTTCGTCGTCTCGTGGAAACGGCAGCGGCTGAATGTTTTGATCGACGTTCGGTTTCTTGATTGTCTTTGTTGTTTCATCTTCTGGCGTTGGCCGCCCGGCGTCTGGTTTCGTGAGCTCGAAGGGGGCTGTTCGACTTGTAAGGACGGCATTGTTTTCTTCGTCGGCGTTATTTTTGTTTTTAATGTTTCGCCTTACGGGTTTTCATTTTGACTCTCTGTATTTGTCGTATTTTCCTGTTTAGTACAGCTGGAAATACCTTTAGTGAGACAAAAAGCTGGCCTAATGCTGACAACATGGAACGAAGGTTTTTCATGGAGGAGTGTCAGCACACGAACTAATACGTGCTGCAGGGGATCGCAGATTGTGGCGAGGCATAATCGCCCATGCCAGCCGGCAAAGCACATGATGATGATGGTTCACTATTCGTATTCGTATTCGGCCGAATAGTTGGTCCAGCTATTCGTATTCGGCCGAACAGTGAAAATCACTATTCGGTACAGCCCTAATAATTACCACATTCAACACCTATTTATTTCACTGAACATAAACTAAGTTCTCCACAAATAATAATTTATCAAAATTCACGTATTCGAAAATTCCCTTCAACAGACGGCTGCTGTATTGGGGGACGGATCACGAACGGGTCGGACCGATGTGCTACTATGTCGAAACGGATTACAAGTAACAAATAAATAATGGGACCATCGCCCGACGTTGAAGCTATCAGGATTGACGTAGACCAACACAAAACGCACATCTGGCCACGTCAGTCATGTAGTCACAATACGCCTATGACAACTACGCACGAAACAGTTTAAACAATCTCACTTTATTCTTTAACGGTAAGTGCACCTGGTACTTACTTTACTGTACTCACTGAATTAATATTTTTCTAACTTATTAATTCCATCCTCTTCTACTTTGGGATGTAGAGGTTTGCCAGACAGATCGCCAGACTTCTCTATCAGTGGTTTTCTTGTTGGCTTTGTTCCGTTCGAGTCCTCTGTCAACCAGGAACCGTCTACAGTTGTCTTCCTAGCGGACCCTGGAAAAGAATAAGCAGGTGTTGTTGGCAATTAAAAAGCTGACAGACTGGCCGGTTCTGCCTTAGTTGCAGATGGTCAGCCTGTGGATTGGAATGCCCTTAGAAAGATGGGACGATCTGAGGTTTTTTGGAAGCAGCGTGTCTCGGCACATTTATACATGAGAGGCACACCAGGCAAATAGGATTGGCACTATTACCCACCGGACGCTGATGTATATGTTGAAGTGGGGATCTGAGCAAAAGCGGGTGATGTGGTCAGTATTGTGCCTTTACTTCCCAGGACTTTACCTGGTACCCCAGGCTGAGTCGACATGGGAGCCTGGGTAATTACTTAAAGGAAAAAAAGGGTTAAATTCCGACAGGACCCTAATCTACGATCCACAGGCGAGCGTCTAGCCGCTACACAACGGGAGCTCCCATGTGTCAGGAGTGCTATGAAGATAACCCAACTCAAAACTCGCAGTGTGGGTTCCAGGGAGCTGTTGTAAAGAAAGAAACTGACCCAAAGCTACACAAAAGGATGTCATAAAAGTCTAACTGGGAGCTTACTTTGAAGCTGGAATGAGTCTGCCGGAAAATCAAAGAACCAACAGTCTGCATTGAGATGAGTCAGATCTGTAAAACATGCGCAGGCAACAAGGAGGTTCTGGAATAGGAATATGGTCCAGGAGTGGACGAAAGAACCAGAACTTTCCGCCGGAGCTTAAAACTGGTGACGCGAAGAAGGCAAGAAGTAA